TGATGACATGCCCCCCCCCCCCCCCCCCCCTGCCCACCATCTCTCCCCTGCTAGAACGACGAAAATCTCTCTCTTGCTCTTTCTCTAGTCTCTCGCTTGATCATCATGCTATTGCTCACTCGCAGCCCTCACATGTATGTATATTCTATGTTTGTCGTCGTGCATGCACAATCAATCGCAGACTATCATCAACTTCGATATGGCCACCGAGGCGGGCCGAGCGGCCGCGCTCAAGGCAGGCCAATCAGCGTCGGAGCTGGAGACCATACCGGAGGCTTCTTCTTCGGCCGGGGGCAGCAGCGCCGGCGTTGGCGATGACGGCGGAGGCGGGGGTGGGAAGGGTACGGAGAGCGGGTGGTTCGGGCAGGTGAGACGAGAGGAGAGGGGGTGGAGTAAGAAGCGATCGGTGCCCGAAGGGGAGAGACGGCGAAGAGAGGGGTTGCGAGCATACGATTTTTGATTCGAGAGTATGAGGGGGGCGAGGGCGGCGGGGAGGGGGCGACTGCTTTGTGCTACTGCTGCTGTACCAAGTGTCGCTTGTCAGAATGAATCGGAGAGCACAGCGGCCTGCAGCAACGGATGTGGTGCGAACACGCTTGCTGTGACTTGTGAGATAGAGGTCTTGCTCGACGAAGCTATCTGCGCATACCATGCTATACGACCCGGAAAAGTGTGTATCTTGGGTGCTGCGGACCACCGTGTAACCGCCGCGGTCGTCCACCCCCTTGGGGGCAAGAACGACCGAGCGAACGAACGAACGAACGATCCGTGGCTTTGCGTGTGTGTGCCTAGGTTGGTGGCCTTGGGTGTCTCTACGCCCCTCCGTACCGATGGGTACAGTATGTACCAGATGGCGTTGTCATGTTGTACTAAATGGACTCCGCGCTTTACCTGTTTGTCTGTCTGTTTTAAACATACATTCACACCTGAGTGTGCCCCCCCCCCCCCTTCGTGTGCACTGTATGTGGACCCCCTACTTCACCGTCCCCCCACCCCACGGTGCTAAATTCGCTCGCTTTTCCCAGGGTCTCGCCAAGTGCTCGCTTCCGATGCCACGGGGCCTGGTGTCCGGCAGCGACGAACCCCGCGCGCCCAGCGGCGGCGGCGGCAAGAGAATAAGCAAGGTACCGCCGACCTGCTTGCAGGCAGAGGCGCAGACAAGTCGTTTCCGTGCCTTGGTGTTGTTGGCTTGCTGTTTGTTTGCTGCTGTCTTTTTCTCGATCCATCTCGTCGTCGTCAGGTGTTGGTGCGATTGTGTGTGCTTTGTGTGCGTTCGACAACATGGGTGCTTGCTAGGGTTACGATCCGTTTATGGCTGCTGCCGCTGCTGCTGTTGCTGTTGTTGCCTTCTGCAGGGCCTCTCGAATTGCTCCCTCCCGATGCCGAGCAGCCTCGCGCCCAAGGTGCTTCCCCCTGTGGAGGCCGTACGCTGGATCGCCCAGGTACACTTCGCTCATCCGTTAGCCTAGCGATGACGGCCAAAAGAATTGACACATGCTTTTCGAAACGTGTGGTATTTTGACGTGGTGAAGCAAGCCATGTAGCGCTCCCTGCCTGTGTGCGTGTATGGCTGTAGGAACGGCATTCACTGCGGTGTGGGGCTAGATTTTACTCATGACTACCCCCAATGCCGGCAGAGACTGTCGCGGTACATGGGACGCAAGCACACCAAAACAAATATCTGGGTGTTTTTTGTGTGTACCGTAAGCGGTTCAGACGACTAGAGGGGCAGCCTTGCCATGTGTCAGTTGGCCATTTCTTGTGGCGCGTTTGGATCGATGGTGGACTGCTGTTGTTGTGCGCGTTCGTTGTTCTTGTTATCTTCGTTGCCGTTACCCTTATGGCGCGCTAAGACGCCCACCGCTGCCGTGCACGTACTGCTGCACCGCCCTCCGCTGCACAGGGTCTCGCGGAATGCCAGATCCCGATGCCGTGCGGGCTGGCGCCGGCCCCGGGCAAGCGCTCTCCCCCTCCCCCGGTTACCCCCGGGAGGACTCCGAAAAAGTCGCCCAAGAAGCTAGAGCCACGAGAGGTATGTATGTACCGCAGGGGGGGGGGGGGGGGTACTCATGTTTTGTACGCACCCTGTGTGAGCCTCGAGTGGATGCGAGCTTGAGGAGTCACTGTATTCTCATCTCAAGATGTTTTAAGCCTGGATTGTGTCGAGACTTACCAATGAGCACGCCACCTCCTCTCCTCTCCATCATTTCTGACTCCTGGTTCATCTCTCCCCCTGCCCCCCTTAGGCGCTTGGAGTGTGGATGAAGCACGCGGAGGAGGAGCTGGCAGCATCGGAGACCCTCGTGGAAGAGATGCAATCCAACTTCTCGTGAGTGTTGGCACGTATTATGGGGGCACCGACGGGAGAATACCGGAGAGAAAGCAAGGCAGTGTTCCCGTGACTCTGTTCCCCTTGCTTCTGTAGCAGTGTGCAAGTTGTCAAGCGAAGAAGCGAAGGGGGCACCGAGAAAGGCTGGTGATTATGCTGTAGTACGTCAAACATATCCCGACTCCCCCCCCCCCGTCCTCGCGACTGGACAACCCAAGCGACCGGTCAATCCAGCAATCTACAATAGGGTTTTCTTGTGTGTTGTGACCCTGACCTCGTCCTCCCTGCCGTCCGTACCGAATGCGTTACTGTTGTTGGCGTTGGCGTTGGCGTGTTGTGTTCGGTCGATCGTTCTGCTCTGCTGCTGTAGAGGGGCGCTGTCGTACTTCGGAGAAGATCCCGAGCTGACCCCTCAGGAGTTCTTCACGACACTGCACTCTTTCATCAAGGTATGTTGTTTTGTTTTTCGGCTTCGTCGTTGTTTCCTGCAGCAGCTGGGGTCGTCGCCGTGGGTCAATTTAGCGGAATGATGTACAGCTGTGTACCGGTCTCAACTGCGCCTCTGCCGTCGCTCGTTTTGGTTGGTTTTGCTTTCGCCGTGCTACGGTACAGTTGTCTGTTCACGTGAAATACCTCCATCTCTGAGGCGTTCTTGCCCCCCCCCCCAAGTACTCCGAAACCTCGCGGGTATATTCGTGCGGGGTAAGGTAGAGGAGGAGTTCACGTAAGCTCTACGGCGTCCATTCTCGCGCGCTGTTGTAGGCCCTGCCCTGTTCCCCATGCCGGGCGCATACGTCAACGCCTTTGTTGTTGTTCTGGCGTTCGTGTGCGTGTGTGTGTCTTTTACGGACGACGGACTACGGACGACCGACAGGCTTTCGACGAGGCGCGGGCCTACGTGGACCGCCAGGCCAAAAAGAAGGAGCAGGAGCGCAAGCTCGAGGAGAAGAAGGCCGCTGCCGCGGCGAAGAAGAAGCGCCTGGCGGAGGAGAAGCGGCGGAAGTCCGCCGAGCTGCTCCGAGCGGGCTCGACAGACTCGTCGGAAGGGGCGGCGGCGGCGGCGGCGGCGAAGGGAGGCGGTGGAGGGGCCGAAGAGTCCTCTCCTACCAAGCAAGACGGCGGGGGGAGCGTCAAGGGGCGCAGGAACAGTGGGGGTGCGAACGGGTTGCCACCACCGGCACTAAAACCGCCGCGAAGTGGGGGGGGGGCGGAGAAGGGGGTGGTGGTGGTTTCTCCGTCGAAGAGCAGCGGCACGCCGTCGACGTCGTCGCCGCTGCAGCCGCCGAACCATAGTGCTGTTGTGGTTGATAGAGGTGGTGATGGTGTTGGTGACGTTGCGCGTGCGGCTGTCGGTGCTGTTGTGTCCGCCGCGGTTGACGCGGTCGTTGCCCGTGCCTGCGGTCCGGCGGCTGAAGAAGGCGGCGACGGCCATTCTGTCGATTCCGCGGTTGCTGCTGCCCTCGGCGCTGTCGTTGATGGTGTTGTTGCCGGCACGGCAACGAAGGTGGAAGGCCTTGTTGCCGGGGAAGGAGCGGCGGCCGCTGCTGGCGCCGCCGGCGAGGGCTCGGGTCCGGCTGTTGCCGATGGTCCCGGCAAAGAAGAGGCGGTCAAGGTTGGCGATGCCGGCGGTGATCGCGTCCCCAGTTCCTTCGCTGTCCGACCCCCGCTGTGGAAGACCGTCTCGAACTCCAAGCGGCGCTCCTTCAACTCCGAGGATGCTGGCGTCGCCGACGAAGCGAGGGAGGCGGCGCTTTCGGCCACCGCGGAAAGCGTCGTCGACGCGGCAGTAGCAGCGGGAACAGCAGCAGCAGCGGCGGCGGCGGCGGCGGTGGCAGCAGCAGAGGGAGCACCGCCGGAGCCGAAGAAGGGGGAGGAGGAAGAGGGCTCCGATTCGATGAGCGCACCGCCTGCTGAACCGTCGGCTGAGACTGGTGATGATAGCCTTGGCGACCAGGAGAAACGGGAAGAGGAGGAGCGGGCCGCCGACTCTGTTGCAGATGGCGGGGCCAAGCCCGAGGGCGTGGGCGAAGAGCCGGCCGCAGCGATGCCGGCTGGGAATTCAGACGAGCAGGCGAAGGAAGAGGAGGTTGCTGCCGACTCTGTTGCCGATGTCGAGGCCAACCCCGAGGGCGCGGGCGAGGAGCCGGCCGCAGCGGTGCCCGCCGGGCAGTCGGACGAGCAGGAGAAGGAGAAGGAGGTTGCTGCAGACTCTGTTGCCGATGGCGAGGCCAACCCCGAGGGCGCGGGCGAGGAGCCGGCCGCAGCGATGCCGGCCGGGCAGTCGGACGAACAGGAGACGGAGGAGGAGCTTGCCGATGGCGAGGCTTGCAAGCCTGAGGGTGTAGTCGAGGAGCTGGCCGCGCAGCGGCAGGAGGAGGAGGAGAAGGAGCTGGCCGCCGCCGCCGACTGTGTGGTCGAGGACGAGGCCAAGCCCGAGGAGCAGCCGCGACCTGTCGACGCTGAGCTTGGGGAAGACTCCGTCTACGGAGTTACCGGCAAGGGCGGCGACGACGATGATGATGATGATGATGCCGACTCGAGCGATGACGACGATGCGCCTGTGGCACGATCGATGCTCAAGCGCACCGACGCGAGCTCCGATCTCCGCGTCGACGAGCTGCTGGACGAGCTGGCCGCCTCCGGCACGCTCCAGGACGGCGACCCGTCAGCGAAGGAGGAGGAGGAGGAGCCGGAGTCGCGGGCGACTTGCGCCCCTGCGCCGGCGACGGCAGCGGCATCTCCGGACACAGACGATGGGGCACAGGAACCTCCGTTGCTGGGCGAAGAGGACAATAGCGGCGGCGGCACAACGGAAGGGAAGAGCGGGGGTGATGGCGTCAGCGATGCGCAGCAAAATCAAGGCTCGACTGAGGAGGTGATCGAGGGGGAAAAGGGGGGGGGGGGGGTAGGGGGTAGAAGATGATGATTTGCGAAACCTGGGAGGGTTGACTGTCTTCCAACGCGAAAATACGTACTTCGTAGTTGGAATGGGAGAGTAAACACGCGAGTGTTGCTGAACGCGGTAGTTTCTTCAGGCGGTGTTTCTCTGTGCTGCTTGATTTCCGTATCTAGACCAGTTTTGGTTTACCCGCGCAGGTTTTGGATAGAGACGGAAGCCAAGACCTGCTGATGTTTGTTTCTCTGTGGGGGGATTAGCGCTATGCTGCCTGTGTCTCATCTCAGCCAGCCCATGGGTTAGGTGTTTCTAGCCGTGTTTTGTGTGCCTCAGGGTCTGTGCAAAATCGTGCTCTTCGCTTCCCCCCTTCAATTTTCTCAACCGCCTTGTTTGCCCCCCCCCCACCGCTGGCTGTCCTGGCCTTTCATTCTCCCCCCCCCTGTGCGGCTACCTCCCCCGAAAAGGAGGAGACCAAGCCGCCGCGAAGAGGTTCCCGTTCCTCCCGGAAGGAGTTCCCCCTGTCCGCGGCAGCGGACGGCACAAACCGGGCCCCCAAGGGGTGGACTCGCGACGACAACGGCCGCCTGGTGAGGCTAGTCTTGAACGACAACAACGAGGAGGAGGCAGCAGCAGCAGCAGCAGCAGCAGCAGCGGGGGCGGGAGGACCTCCCTCGCCCGACAACCAGCCTTCTTCGCCGTTGTTGCCTGGTGGTGATGCTTCTTGGGCGACGATCGGCGGAACCGTCCCCGCCGCCGCGGCCGCCGCCGACCCTTCGATGCGGAGAGACCCGAGCTTCATTACCCCGGAGCGCAGCCCGCTGAGCATGGCGGACGGCAAGGGGGAGGCGTTCCCGGAGCTCCTCCCCGGCCCGGCGGAGAGGAGGTCGGTCGTTACCGCCCTCCGTGGGGCAGCGAAGGTCGTCGGGGGAGACTCAGAAGAAGGGCTGGAGGCGACGGTGGCGGCGGCGGCGGCGCGACGACCTAGTGTTCTCCCCGATTATGATGATGCCGGACAGGAAGGAGGAGGAGGGGTTAAGGAAGAGGAGGACGGCGTGGGTGCCAAGCAGGGGGAGGAGGGGGCGTCGTCGTCTGCAGAAGGAGGAGGAGGAGGAGCCCCCCCCGCCACTGAGCAAGCGGCCGAGCCGGTTGAGAACGGAACCAACGTGGCCGAGAAGGAGGAGACTGCTGCGGTGTCCGAAGAAGGTGATGGCGGCGGTGGTGGGAAGGTCAAGAGCGCCGCCGCCGACAACCGGAGACGAGCCAAGGGCGCCGCTGCTTCTTCTTCTTCTTCCGCCGCTGCCGCCGCCGCCGCTGCTGCGCCGTCTCCCGCGGCGCCTGCGAAGCAACGAAAGATGAGCGCGGCCGCCGCCCGAAAGAAGCGCCGACACCAAGAACGGCTGGAGGCGAAGAACCGGGCGGCGCTGGCGGGCCTCGTTGTAGACCCGACGGGCGCGGGAGTCGTGGCGGTGGACGGCGTTAAGCCCGAGGTCTTGGACCAGACCGTAGTAACCGGCGGAGACGTCGACATCGAAATCAACGGAGAGGTCGGGGGAGGTGGAAGTGGCGCCGCGGTCGAGCGAGAAGTAGAGGCGGAGGAGGGGCAGGCTGAGACGAGCACCCCAAGAGATACGTCGTTGGAGGAGGAGGGAGGCGAGACATCGGAAGCTGTTGCTGTTGGGGCCTCAGCCGGGGCGGCGGAGGGGGGGGGAGAGCGGAAGCCCCGAGTGTACTCCGGCGGCGAGGGTGTTATCACGGCTCAGCCCACGGGCGACGCTCCGCCGTAGGAATAATGCGAAGGAGGAGGTAAAGAAGAACTCCCGCAGTGTAATAAGTAGACCACCAGTAACAGCGCGCACCGGGTGCTTGTGATGGTTGCTCGCGCGCGCGTTTCTCGCTCTAGGAAGCGATTATGAGGAGGCGTAGCCGTGGCCTCTCCTGCTTTAGTCTACAGGCCGGTGATGATGATGATGATGATGATGATGATGATGATGATGATAGGTTTTTGTGCTTTTTTCTTGTGGATGGTTTTGAGAATGATTTTTTTTAACTTTTGTAGTGCGTGTGCTTGACGCGTTGCGTGTGTGCGTGTGTGTTGTTTTTTCAGCGTACCGAAAACGAACCCAGTTTTGTGCCAGCCAGCCAACTCTCGTCGTGTGATTGGAAGATTGTTTTTAGAGGCAGCGAGCGAGCGGAGGAAGGAGCAAGAGAGGAGGAGAGAGCGTCATTTGAGTTGTTGGGACGCGGGCCGGGCTTAACCGTTCGCTTAACCGTTTCGCCTTTGTTGGGACTCCCGCCGCCCGACGGTAGCATATTTTCGTGGTGAACTTGTTTTTTCCTTGTTGTCGGCAGGCAGAGCACGTGCGGACGATTAAGGGGGGGAGGATGATGTGTTTTGAAAATGTAAATGGGATATATATGCGTGTGTTAGTTCGTGCGTATGTGTGCGGGGCCGGCGAAGAGGCCGTCCGCTGGGCCGCGTGGGAAAGTGTATGGTATCATGAGTTCCGTGTGCTAGCGAGGGAAAACCACACCAATGGGGCCGGGGGGGGGGGGGGGGGCTCTTGTTTCTTTTTCACTTGGTTCCGTTTCCACCGTTTGTGCCGTTAGCTGTTTAACTTTTGTTCCGTTT